GAGATAATTACTTACTATGACAGGGGCATGTGGTCGACATGCCGTAACCAACATTATGGCAAAACATGATCTTGCAGGATATTTTGAACTTAAGAGTCAACAGTCATCCATCCAATAACTTCCACAAATGCGGTGCGTCCCTCTCAACTAATATCTTCCCAATGCATTATGCCACCTCCTACAAAACTAACGGTCTGGGCGAGATTGCAGGTAGCGGATCGTTCCCTAACTCTTTTATAGAAGTGGTTTCGATCATCTGGTTTCCATAATAATATTCTGGTCTCATCAGAGAAACGAATATTTTTCCAGTTGTCGATATTCCGCTGAATATGTATTCTTGCAAATTCCAACTGACAAGCTTTATTATTTTGGAGAAGGCGTGAAACTTTGGCAGGGTGTCTAGGCTTTTAGTTTGCTTCTTATAATTGTCGTCTAACTGTTTCTGAACTCACATGAACTTGTCTAATATTTGGCAACTCATTTCTGAAGTGCATCGATGTCAATGAGCAATTTTGTGCTGAATTAAGAACCACAAAATGGTCATCAACGGCGATTTGTGCACCTTGGGCGTCCTTGATTACTTCTTTCGTACAATTCTTGTTCGTCGTACAATTTTTCCTGTTTCTTTGTACCTTTTTAAAGTATCCGAAACTGTAGATTGTTCCTGGGACGTCATGCGACATCATTTTGTGTATATCCTTCCTCGTACAAAATTACAATCTGTGATGCTTGGGCTTCATCGTAGTGGCAAATTAGTGTCATAATTGTTTTTACCTTAGTTAAATCATAACAATATTTAATTAAACTTAATAAATTAAACTAAAAATAATCGAATTAGTATGATTTTTTCCTTACGTGAAGAAAGTGTTTTATGATAAAATGTACCAATGACACTAAACGCTGAATAAACGTCAAAATAAACGTCAAAATATTCTAAACCAGTTAAGTACACCAGTCTACTATATGAGTTACATTGGTAATCCAAAATTATTTTGAACTAATAGTGACTACAAAAAAAAATTGAAAATTCTAGAATATTCGATATTTTTGTCCATGAGTGTATTTTGAATAATGTTAACATCCATATATTTTAACTTTTTATTTACAAAGATTGGATTTGGAGAAGGTGGTCAAATTACTTTGGCACACAGGTGCCAAATACCCACTACTGAGACTTAAGCAGGTACCGCAAAGTACCACAAATATTATTCTGAGGATTCCTGATAATCGTGAAGAATAAACCTTTACGATTTGTTAAGCTTAGCGAGCAAATCACCACTTTATTCACAACTGCCTTAGTGGGAAAACATTCGTTAATAACAATAATTTGAAACACATGTTAAATTGAACCTCCAATGTAGGTTACGCCTATAGTTTGCTCATCGGCTCGGTCCTACTCTGATCCTGTAAACGGTCCTTAATCCCTTTCTCGTTCTGACCGAATCCCTCTACAGCCTTGCAATTACTTCGGATTAATTACTGTTCACTCAAAATAAACTACATGCTAATCCCGCTTCCTGTCGTTTACTAGAACCGTTCGTGACGAGAACATTTATGGTTAGAAATTCCGCTTTCTGATAAAGTTTTTGCTGATTTCAAAAAAGTGAGAAGATGACGAAAGTAAGAACCAATGATGTAAGGTTTGTAAAAATAGTTTTGAATAGCTATAATTTTTGTTATTAAAACAAATACACTTAAAATTTTAAAATCACACACATAAAAACGTACACAGACAAATTATACAGCGAATAAGTACATTCTCAATTCATCGTGTCTTGTATCTATAATTTTATTCAATTTTTCATCCTACCTTTGGTTTATCTAATTTTTTTTTTATATTTTTTTTTATTTCAAATTAACGTGTCTTGATAGCATATGATCATTGACACGAGTACAGTTTATAACATTATACATATTTTATATACAAGCATTTGATATGAAAAATTTTTTTTGTGGAAAAGTTAAAGTAATAAAGCTTATCACTATGCATTGTTTATATAGCTGAATTAAACTTATTCCTTTTCAAAATTTAAGAACACTGTTAAAACGGTTTGGAACACCTAGACTGTCTTTTAGATTTCCTTTTAGGCTTTGCAGGTTTTCTGATGCCATAAGGTATCCAATATATCCATGCGTGATACTATATCAAAACAAGATAAGTCAACGCGCATATTTTTGTGACGTAAACCTGAGACAACTTTATTAACGACAAGTTTTGTTAATTGTGTTGCTGTGTTTATCCAGTTTGCTATCCTGTGTATTTCAAAACGTAGTGAATGATATTTTTATTTATTCATTGGTGTAGTAAAGACTTTGTATATTATATTGTTATATAAATTTTGTGGTGAAAACATTCAGTTTACCTTGTTAATATCACCTAATTTGTTTATCGTACGCAACTTCCTCTCGACTGCCTGTAGCTGCTTTATAAAGAAGACTAATTATTTGTTTGTCATAATGTACTGTGTGCAGTGGTGAGTTGTTTAAAAAAATAATAATAATAAAAGTAAAACTTTTTTGACCTGTCATTTTTTTGTGTTTCCTAGACAAAAACAAATGCGTTAAGTATGGGTCATTAAGTCTTTTCAGCGAGACAAATTTAATGTAGAAATCGCGAAAATATGCTCAAAACATTTTACAGAAGCTGATTATTGTGTAAAAGAAAAACTATTGGGATTGCCTGACAAATAGTGGAAGTTAAGAAATGATGCCATATATTCTTTTCATTTAATAAAATTTCCAAGCGCTAAAAGATCGCCTTCAAATAGACGCAAAAGAAGCATGGAAAAAAAGAAATGTATTAAAAAACATGTAAGTATTTTGGTTTTAGACACACTTTAACAGCAGAACAAATGTTTCTATAGATAGTAATAAATGTTTCTATAGATAATAATATAATATTAATGCCCATTTTAATAGAACTTGAAGTAATACTTTATTTTTGATAGGTCTTAAAAAAAGTTACTTTGGTTGTATGTAGTGAACTGGAACATATTTTTCGTAGTTATAATGGCGACACATTAAAAATAACAAAAAATTATTTAAAAAAACTGAATAGAAGCTGCAAAATATGTAAATGTTAGCGAAGTTGTAAAATTACTTTTTTTAGAGGTGAAATGTATTTTAAAATACGAATTCTAAATAAAAATATTAAAGATAATTACAATATTCGCAAGAGAAAAATCAAAGATTGTAAAATAAATGTTCATAAAGTCTCAAGTACGACCCGCTTTTCCTTTATGGTCAAATTCTATACATTTTACCGGCCTTTTATATTTAATTTATGTTTTGTAGCAATATTTATTTTGTTTGTAATATACACAATCAAATCGTATATTCATATATTTCTTTAATTAATTTTACAAATTACTTATTAATTTTCAAACCACGCTTTCACAAAAAGTAACTATTTATAACTTCTTAGTGCAAGATTTGGCATCGAGGTATACTTACCGTTAACAGTTTATTTCGAATGGAACAACGTTGCCATATGTTGCATCATTAAAATATGATACACATAAGCCCCCTGGCTTTATCTCGCTATGACGTCATGCGCAAAGTCGATTAAAACTAGAACCACAAGACGTGTATGTCCTATTCGATTTTTCTGTGATGCCCTGTTCATTGAGAAGATATTGACGTGAAATAAGTTCGGTTGAACGTCATGCAGCTTAGTTTTTGTTTTACTCCAAAGGTCAGCCCATGAGCTGAGGATATTTTGTTTTATCAATATTTTAAGAACCATATGAATTTGGACCTCTTTGAAGTTTAAGTTAGAAGAACATGCTGTTTTAGCGGCTTAGTCTGCTTTTTATTTTCCCAATATACCAACATGAAATGGAGTCCAGATCATTATGACTTTTTTTTAGCAAAATATAGTTGCTTACAGTTGGTGTGGATTTCCTGGATTAGTGGGTTTTTCGAGAAAATGCATCTTATGGAATGAATCGAGGAAAGATAATCAGTACAAATGGCGATTTTTATGCTTTTATTTGAAGTAAGATGGATTAAAGTTTTTAATGCTTGGAGTATTCCATATAGTTTTGCGGTAAAGATACTACAACTTTTTGACAATTGCACAGAGCTTATTGTCGTCGTATAAATAAACTGGTAAACGGAGCTCATTTGGCTTAGTAGGAAAAGGTGGTACTGAAATCAGCAAAATACTATAGCATTATGCCTTTAATGAAAAAAATATGTGTCCCCTTTTTGCCAAAGATTTTATGATACAATCAAACAGACAGATGCTGATTGCCAAAAAATGACGATTTTGATAAGAGTGTTTTAGACTGTCTTTTTTTATTTTATTTTTGATTTTCTACATTATTACAGTGATAGTATAGTAGAATTTATTATTATATTACGTACATTGCTCTTAGGTTAGTTCTGTTATAGCAAATAAAAAAAAAATGCAAAAACAAAGCATTTTACTATTTCTTCAGACAACGTTTCTCGTTTTGGTAGCAAGAACCGACTATGTGCAACATTTAGTTTTTGGTTATATTACAAATGTAAAATAAAAAAAAATCACATATTTGCAACTATGACTGTATGACACGTTTTTATCATTTTTCTCAAAACCATGCAATGTGCACGTGAACGATTATGGCACCAAGCCCTTTAAATACATTTTCGCTGGAAACCGTTTGCCCTATAGGGGCCTTTATAATATTTTATTTATTATTATCTGCTTTTCTATCAATAAGTTTGATCTTTAACCGTGAATTTATTTGATTTTAAATTATAGTTGTTGGTTTTTCCCTTTAGTGGGTGCCATACATGTTAGTGTTTGATGGAGATGATTAGCTAAAGGTTTAAATTGGTTCTTTTTTATTGAAATAAATTCTGGTTTATTGTTAATCATAAACAATTACAATATATATTTTTAATTGTAATGGAGTTGATTTTTCGATATTAACTTTGTTTTTTCGCTTTTACTTATTTTTTTTACCATATGTGTTTTTTTATAATACGCCAAATTTGATAATAAATAAATATTTAAACGAAATGTATATATTTTACATAATAATGCTTATATCTATAACAAATTATTTTTTAGATAAATCAATCACGACCCATGCTTTGTAAGACATTTTGGAAACATTTGTCAAAATTAATAGCTTTAACTTCGGCATTTTCTCCTTGAGGTGTGCTGCATCCTTGAAACTCTGTCAGACGACCCTTGTCATCGGTAATAGCTTCAATGTGTTTCTTGTACTCAGCAGGAACAATGTCTCCATTCTGATCCATGATTCCTAATTTACGATGAACACAAAGAACTTGCTTACCGGTTTCAGGGGTTGTAACTCCTAGTTTAACGTTATCAAGTTCGTCTACGGTTGAACCTAATTCCTTTTGGCATTCTGCGATCTTTTGATGTACTCTGTCCCGTTCTGGACCGGCTGCGGACTGTTGAAAAAGAAAAAGGTATAATAAAGCTAGATTAAAATAAAACATACAAAAAAAAATAAACTTCGTTACCATAGAAATTTGGATATTATCAAATTTGAGTCTATATTAGAAGATATTCCTGCTAGGTAAAAATTCTTCTCGAGGCTCTGAATATTAAGGAGTATCTTCTATCTGGTATATTCTTTTATCTAGTATCTAATATATTCTGTGGTTAATTATGTAGACATACTAATCTATGAATATAATTTTTATTTTGTTTGTTTTGTTCCACATCTCTTAACAAATTCTCTTCTGTTATCAGTTAAAGCGATACTAACGATATGTTATGGCTAAGTTATATACCTTCATATACAAAAAATACTGGATATAAGTGGCTGTGGATATAAACAAATAACACAGTTTATTAGGACTGCAGTTAGAAATTTGGTCGGGATGTTAAAGGAACACTCTTTTGACTTCTGGTCTAGCTTTTGGAATGTTTTATTCCTTTTTCAAGACACCGTAATAAGAAGAATGGGTAAATATTTACAAAAAATCATAATTCGTCAGTGCAACTTACTAGTCGTTGAGAGTATATAAAAAGCTTTGACACTCAACATTAATAACACACATATGAAATATAAAATATACGTCTTAAACGTCTTATAAATATATGTGATCAATATGGCATAAAAAAGCAAACATAAACATGTTTAGGGCATAAAAAACAAAAGCAGAATAAATTAAATTACATTAATGTCTGATGTAGGACAGATGAAACTTCAATGGAAGAAGCAATCTTAAAATGGTACGGTCAACAACGTTCTAGTAAGGTCACGATCCAAACAGTCGAATAGATATCTGCTGCAATTAAGTTAGCAAATCATATGGACATACCATTCAGAGCAAGTGATGGATAGCTTTAGCGTATCGCAAAATGCACATAATCATCAATATCAGAATTTACGGCTAAGCTTCAAGAGCACCAAAAGAAGAAATAGAACCGTTTAGGCAAAAATTAGTAGAACATATAAGTAAGGAAATACTATTAGATTCTCAGATTAACAATCCTGACGAAACTGATTTGTTATGGCTGCTTTGTGCTAAAGCCGATTGACGGCATAGATTGGCTCCTGTAGTAGTTGACAAATCTTTCAAACCTAGAGTTTTAAAAGATATAATGCATCATCTGCCCGTTTGAAATTATATATCTAAGAAGGCATGGTTCACCTCAGATATTTTCACAAATTTGTTTTTCAAAGAATTTATACTTTTTCCTTACTCACTTTTCAGTGAGAAAATTTCAAGAAAAGAAATTGGGCATACCGCCAGAAGAGGTAAAATGTTTATTGCTTTTAGACAACGCACCTGCTCACCCCTCTGAAAATATTGTACGTTTATAAGATAGCAACTTTTACTTTCTCTTTTTGTCAAAAAATACAACATCGCTTACTTAACCCATGGATTAGGAAATAAATTTCGCAAGCAAACAAATATTACGCAGAAAGTTTTTAAACAAAGTAATGGTTGGCAAGAGATACAAGAAACAGCATACCTTGCAAAACTTAAGGTCCTATAATTTAAAATCAACATTTTTTTATTTTGCTGCATCATTAGAGGGGGTTAAAGAGCAACCATTAAAAAATGGATGACAGAATTTGTTTGATGGGCAAGATGCAGACGTAGATTGAAAAGGGTTTCTGTAGGAGTTGATCATAAACAAACAGCAAACATCGAAAGTGCAAACGAAACTTGATTCCTTTTTTAAAACAGGATTAACGTCAGCAAGAGCATCGAAATCAACTGCAACATCACTTCACGACTAATGGTCGAAGACAATTAAATAGAATTTTGTTTCTACTTTGTATTTTTTTTAATATATTTAAATATAGTTGGATGAATAAATGTCCTAGTATCTTTTGGTGCTAATTTATCTTTTGTATAAACATTAAACAATGTAGATATCATTACACTGGCTTGATTAGGATTCATCTGTATTTTGACATTCTTTTCATTTAAAGATGGAAAATGAGAATAATACAAATAAATTTCTTTTCTCTTGTCATACCATACTGTATTTAAGAGAGTTCCTTGTGAGTAAAGGTGTGGTAAGATCTGAAACCATAAGATCCAAAGCAACAAACACACAACCCACACTTCAGTGTATATCATCATCATCAATTAGCCTATATTTGTCAACTGCTGAACGTAGGCCTGCCGTAAAATTTTCCACCTATTTCTATTTTGAGCTTCTTGCATCCAGTTTGTGGTGATGCGCTTGATTTCATGCGTCCATCTAGTCGGTGGTCGTTCTCTGCTTTGATATGCATCTTGCCTTGGTTGCCATTCCAGAATTTTTCTGGTCCAACTATCATCTGTTAATTTGGCATCATGTCCGGCCCAAGCCCATTTAGCCATGGCTATTTTTTCAACTGCATCTGTGACTTCTGTTCTTCTTCTTATTTCTAGGTTTGGTACTTTATCTCTGATGGTAATACCTAATATTGATCTTTTCATAGCGCGTTGTGTAAGTCCTATTTTATCTATTGTTCTTTTTGTCAAAGTTAGTGTTTCTGCACCATAAGTAAGAACCGGTAAAACGCACTGGTTAAAAACCTGTCTTTTTAAACAAACTGGGATAGTAGACTTAAAAATGATATTTAATTTACCAAAGGTAGTCCATATGAGACCAATCCTTCTTTGTATTTCAGTTGTCTGATTATCTCGGTCTAAGCGAATCTCATGGCCTAGATACTTGAAAGCTATTACTTGGTCGATGCTATGGCTCTCAATCAGAATTTTACCGCTGACTACAAGGTTGGTCACAAATTTTGTCTTTGAGGTGTCTCTCGTTCCATTTGCTTGAACATACATTCAAGAACAGCTGTAAACAATTTAGGGGAGATAGTATCACCCTGTCTAATTCCACGTTCTATTTGAATCTTCTTCTATTTCTATTCTATTGTATTCTATTCGGGTATATAGGCGTGTCGAAAACAAGTATAGAAAGACCACGTGAAGGAATATTGAATAAGAGTGGAAATTTAAACCTTTCTGTATCACCGGGAGAATATAATTCTGTATTACAGAAGATTTATGGAATCTTGTACTGTGTCATAAAAATTAATATAGGGATTTTTGAACTAAATGTAATTTGAAACCAGAAAAATCGGTTAAAGCTTACCCAGGCGCAGATGTCTTTTCAGACCATAACCCTCTAATAGCGCAAATGAGTATTAAACTAAAAAGATTGGAGCAGAAAAGAAGAGCAAATCAGATAGACGTCAATCATTTATGTAACCTAGAGGTAAAGGAGAAACTACAAAAATGTATTATTATAATTTGAAAATACCTTATGAAAAAGGAACATCTCAGCCAACGAACAACATTGATAAAAAATAGTAAAACGTAAAAATGGCGATAACAGGTCCTGCGAAGAAAATTCTGACTAAAGAATAACCAAAATTAAAGCAAAGGTGGGTGACTGATAAGATCCTTCTTTTCATGGACAATCGGAGAATAATGAAAGAAAAAACGAACAAAGATATAAACAAATACAGAGAGAAATCAAAATAGAAATTAGAATAGCAAAAGAAGATTTTTATAAAAGAAAATGTGAAGAAATAGAGCAATTGCAGGCAAAACATATTTTTCATGTACATAAAAAAGTGAAAGAACTTGCAGGTACACAAAACGTAAGCAGCCAAATACCCTGTATAATGTAAACGGAAACATAATAACAGAACTAGAACATTTGAAGACATGAAAAAACTATATTGAAGAACTCTTTGCAGATTATAGACAATAGTCTGAACTACGTAACATACAAGGAGACAAAGATCCATAAATAACGGAAGAGGAAGTAATGTATGCACTAAAAAGACTGAAAAATGGTAAAGCCCCAGGTTCAGATGAAATACCAACGGAAATCCTTAAACTAACAGAAAAAGACTCGATTCACATTTCAGTTGAACTTTTTAGTAGCATTTATACATCAGGAAAAATACCATAAGAATGGATTTTATCCACCTTTGTTATTATACCAAAAAAAGATAAATGCCAAACGATGTAGTGATTACCGTACAATCAGTCTGATGAGCCCTGTACTGAAAATATTCCTGAAAATTATACTCTCTTGAGTAAACAGAAAACTGGAAATGGACATCAATAATACCCAGTTTGGATTCCGAAATGGACTCAGAACAAGAGAGGCGTTGTTTACACTGAACGTTATATCTCAAAGATGTCTTGACATCTTTGAATGAATCTTGATTCTTGAAAAAGAATTTGGATAAACGAGACATCCGACTAATAGCAAATATGTACTACAATCAGAAAGCAGTAGTGAGAGTAGAGAATAATACCACTGAAGAAAATAAAATAAAATAAAGTGAGGTGTGAGACAAGGGTGTATACTGTCACCAACCCTGTTTAATCTCTATTCCGAAGACGTAATGAATAGAGCACTCTCTGAGCAATCCGTGGGTATTAAAATAAATGTTGTTAGATTAAACAATCTGAGATTTGCCAACGACACCGTTCTGATCGCAGAAACACTTGAAGAGCTACAGACATTGTTGAATAAGATTGCAGACTGCAGCGAAGAATATGGACTATCTTTGAACATAAAGAAAACTAAATTTATGGTAATATCGAAATTAACAAAAAATGTCCAAAATTTATATTTACACAATGAAATTATCGATCGAGTTGGCAAATACAAATATTTAGGCACTTTTATAAATAAAGACAACGATAGCTCAGCAGAAATTAAAATAAGAATAGAAAAAGCCAGATCCACAATTACTAAAATGAAGAGAGTGTTCTGCGGAAGAGATTTGAGCCTTAAAATGAAACTTCGCCTAATAAGATGTTATGTACTTTCTGTTTTGTTCTACGGAATGGAGTCACGGACATTGAAAAATATTGATACCAAAAAATTAGGGCATTTGAACTGTGGATGTATCGCAGAATCCTGAGAATATCATGGACCGAGGGAGTCACAAATGTCGAGGTCTTGAGAAGAATGACTAAAGAAAAGGAAGTCATATTTACGATCAAAAATGAAAACTGCAATACTTGGGACACATTACAAGAGCGGAAAAATATGAACTGCTTCGAATAATTATGCAAGGGAAAATAGCAGGAAGAAGGTCCATAGGAAGAAGACGAAACTTCTGGCTAAAGAATTTACGGGAATGGTATAGCTGTAGCAACAACGAATTGTTTTGGTCATATCATTCGGTATATCTAAAACTAGAAAAAAATAGGAATGAAATAACACAAGTAAAATGAGGAAGTATAGGACAGTACCAAGGATAAAACAATAAAAAAAACATTGGTAAAACGGAAAAATATTACGAAAATAAGATATAAATAGCTTTAAAAGCACAAAAAGCTTACAAATGATGGAAAATACACTAGTAAAATGGTGCTTTTATATTCAATACGTTAACTATTCAAATAGAGAAAGAATGTATTAGCTGCAAGGTGTAAAGAAGTCAAACAGCAAAAAATTATTTACTAGACTATCTAATGTATGAATACCTTAAATGTTTATATTGATAATATGTTAATTGGATCAAATTCAAACATAGCGACAAGAATAAGATACAAAATATTTTAGCATAATAAAAATACAAAGCAATTCTTACCGCTGTCCAGCAGACCAAAGCTACAATTAAACAATATGCTACTTTCATCTTTGTTTCGTTGATTTCAGGAAAATGTAATAATTTTCTATTACATTTCCATTTTATAGATATTTTTGAAACAACAATAAGTATCAGGACCGTACGCAGAGCTTTGTTACAAATTTTAAGCGCATCTAAGGTAACAATCTTCTTTAAATAAAATATTCATAATACAATGGGGTAGCAAATTGCGGCTTAATTTCACGAGTACATAATAATATTATATAAGAAGGTTAGTGTTCTTCTTCGCGTGCCATATCAGAATTATCCGAATTTGGCGTTCACCATTGCGAACGCTTCTCGATCTTCTGCAACATGAAATAATTGTCCTGCAATTGGTATCTGAGTCCATTCACGAATGTTTCTTAAACAAGAAACTTGTTTTCTTCCTACACGTCTACGCCCTCTATTTTGCGTTTAAGGATAAATTGTAATACTTTATATCGACTTCTCCTTACTATATGTCCCAGATACGACATTTTTCGTTATTTAACAGTCTTTAGCAGTTCTCTATCTGTTTTGACGCTCCTTAGTACTTCTTCATTAGTTTTCCTTGCTGTCCAAGGTATCTTTAGCATTTATCTATAAACCCACATTTTCAATGCTTTAATTTTGTTCATGATCGATACTTTTAGCGTCCACACTTCTGCACTATACAAAAGTACAAACCAAACATAGCACTTAACCATTCTTTGCCTTAGTTCTAAACTGAGATAATTATTGCAATGAAATGACTTAATTTTCATAAAAGTAGTTTTAGTCATTGCTATTTAACGTTTTATTTCTATATCTCGATCTAGTTGGTCCGTTATCACCTTTCCCAAATTTGTCATTTTGTGAACTTCCTCAACTTGGACTTCGTTTAATTGAAGATTTGCATCGGGATGTGGGTCACGACTAAACACTAAAAATTTAGTTTATTTTATTGCCCATTTCCTCTCTTACCTCGTGAATGCATCAAGCACGATCGAATACGATCAAGCAGAAAGTAGGTTAGTATGAAAATTAAATAAGAGTGATCGAATTTATATTATAACTGAGTAAAATACTCTATCTTCTCCATGACCATTACATAGGAAACAGCTGAGGGACCCAATAAGCAGTGACGAGATTAGAAAAAATGTATTGTACAGAGTATAACGAGCGGACACTAAACGCAAAAAAAATTGAATAAACACATCAAAAGAATTACGTACACGTAACACGTAAAGCACACACATGTTGTTAAAGAAGCAAGGGACCAAGTGATAGAAGAAGTATCGGACGACCGCGCTAGAAATGGAGTTACAATCTTTCATAGAGGCAATCATTCGTCAATAAATAAACATGCAAAAAAAATGCTAATTTAAAAGAAAAAAAGACCATTAATTATGAGTAAAAAACAATTTAATCTGGAATAAAACAAGTTATTGAAGGGCAGGTTCTAGGGTTTTGAGCGTCAAGAGCAAAACATAATATGTCTCTATCATACAAGAATATATAAATTTACTGCGAATTAAAGAAATAGTAAAAAAAGACAAGAAATAAAAAACGGATGTGGCAGTCCAGTGGGACTGACGGTAAAAGTTATACTTCTATACACGCGTTCATCGTTACAAATTTATATGGGAGTCAATCGGCACAATCATTACATATGTAATGCTCTAGGTAAGAGAGATCAGAAAGAGCAAAAGAATTAGGTATATAGGTATATGGTGCATCGTTAGGCATGTGACCTGTAAATAAGAGTATAGTAAATGAAAAAGTTAATAAATATTTTAATGAAAATATATATTTTTATATTCATATATGTATAAAAGGAGTTGAACGCAAAAAAAAATTTTTGCACATACTCTGCAGTAAAATTCATTGTTTATTTGGTTATTAATATAAACATACAATGCAATACACTGCAACGTAATTCAATTTAATAAGTCAATACCAATTAAATTGCAATATTAATAAGTATTTAAAAATGACAATATACATAACTTACTTTCGTATATGTTTAATTTGCCATGATAATAATATTAATAAATATTAAATATATTTACAAAAGAAACATTTTTATTCTTGAGAGAGAAAGAGAGAGAAAATTTCCAACATCGAACGCGAGTACAAAAACAAAAAATGTAAATTCATATTGGAATTCGAGCTCACATATACCAGCGTATAAACCAAATACGTAAGAAATGTGCCAGTTAGACATGACACAAACGTATTTCAAAATTGACAGTTCTCGGTCATACATATTTATTGTAACTATTATTTTGAAATACAAAAGCCTACAATAATTATGAACATTTAATAAATAATATAACACATATCACATAAATAAAAATATTATATATATATATATATATATATATATATATATATATATATAGACTTTATAAGAAATACAGATCTAATAATTTATTTACTTACAACTCAATATGCAGTACTACATATCGACATAGTATACCGGTTCGCTATTCCCAGTCCGAACTGTATAGTGATTTTAGTAATTATTTTTTTTCGAAGTTAGTAACTTTTTGACAGACTCAAAGTGGCTGGAAAATACTATACAACCAAGCATACGTGCTCTTAGTCAATATTAATGTAAACAAAAGTAAATAAAATAGAACTTTGCCGACAATCAATATTTATTTATTTACACCGTATAATGTATTGATAACAAATAATAAAATTATTTATTGTACAAAATAAAAAAGTTTGAATAAATTCTACAAAATTAAGAAATCAAAGTGAGGTTAAATAAGAATAAGACACAGCAAGTTCCTTATGTATTTACAACATTTACATAATTCGATAAATACATTTTAATGATCAACTTACCTCAACAGGGTTTTCATTCGGTAAAAAAAAATGGTAGGCATTTTGAATAAACCTTTGTGCAGTTTTATTACCTTGTAATCTAGGAACAGCATCCTTACTAATCTAAAAATATTAACTTTAAAAAAACTTTTTAAAAAACATTTTAAATAAATTTATAATAAATATATTTTTTTTTAAATATTTATTAAGAAAAACTTACCAACGCATTAGCTGATGGAACAAATGGAAAACTTTGACTATCCATAATAATAAAATTTAAAATATAACTAATTAACTGAATAGAACTAACAAAAGAATTAAACAAAGATAATAAAACAATATTAAATTAAATAAACAACGCGAATAATACAAATATTTACTACAATATTTTAAATTGTAACAATTCAAATATTATATTTTAAATATACAGGGAAAATTTGATGGGTTTAGTATACACTTTCACTATTTAGAATAATTCTTCTTTTTTTTTCAAAGAGAGAGGTCTGCAGTAGTAGTATACTTGAGCTATTTATACTGAGAAGTAGGAATTGTTGTGTTGTAGGTTTCCTACAATGAGTCTGTCAAAATATGCCGTAGCTAAGCGAATAGACAATACTACACATAACATAGAGTTATAAACTCTATGTCATCTTTGTATTTTAGAGAACTGATGAAGCTTTAGAAGTATAAAGCGAAACGTCTTCTATAAACTTATGACGTAGTTGACTTCTGTTTTTTATTTTGCCAACCTGAAGGACCGAATAAACGTCTGAATTCACTAGTTGAATACTTTATTATATATATATATATATATATATATATATATATATATATATATATATATACATATATATACATATATATACATACATATACATATACACACATACACACATATATATATATATATATATATATATATATATATATATACTCTTAGAAAGGGCTTTAGTGACTATGTAAGTAATATATACAGATATCTTGGGTTTAGTAGTCAATATTGGCCTCTAAGTAAAATTCTTTTAGGTTTGTTAAGCTTTCGAGTTTATTGTACTCTTTTTCAAAACGTACTAAAAATTAACATAAAAAACTACACTAGAAAAATGAAGTTTTTATATCTTTAATAGGCTTACCCTTGTGAGGATTGTGTTTTAAAATTAGCAAAATTAATTAACATAATGACATTATTAAATTTGATTTTCTTTTTCGTTCTGTCAAAACTTATTACTAAGGTTTACATGTCTCTTCTATTTTTTATATTTATTTTAGGTTAGTTTGACAGAGGAAGTGTCTATGTTTATACAAACCTTCATTGCAAATTTTGATATATGTAGAAATGTTTCCTTTGCAGTTATTAAACAAGCAACAGAGTTTATGTTACTAACTAATTAGGAAAAAAAAAACACAAATAAAAATAAATTTTATCTCATTTGAACTTGGAATAATCCCTTTAATATGCGTAACTTTTAAGAAATTTTATCTTTTATATTGTTATTCTTTTATTTAAAAGAAGATTACTGTATATAGCACTAATATTTTCAATGTCTTCACTTTTGTTTAAGGTGTTTTGTGTAGTTTGAATTAAACACATTTCTAGAAACAGTCTTTTGTTGTAAATTTCTATCCCTTCTCAATATTTCTGTTTGATCATAGTTAGGCGTATGGCATTGTAATACAATGTTCACTTAATGCACAGGCTTGTACTTTATTCAGCTTAATATCACTCAATCTTCCGGACACATTTCTGGACGTTTCTCCCACATATACTCTATTACAATTATTATAGTATATATATATATATATATATATATATATATATATATATATATATATATATATATATATATATATATATAAATATACTGGAAAAGCGATAAACGCTTGTTTCAACGCTGATCAGATAGACTACAAAACTCAAATATTTAGGTGTGCAGCGGAAGAGAGGACAAAGGAGTAATCTTTTTATCCTACCAAGCTTTCGCAAATTTTTATTTGCATCATCAGGGTGCTACAATAAACAAATTTAGTACAAATTGCAGAATAAGAATTATTTTGAATCTTACACTAATTAAAGTTAGTTGTCGTGATGTTTATAAAATAAAGTGGGCAACTTATTTGACCCCTACGAAAACTATCCAAAATTGTTTTAAAAACGTTCTGTAACAGACGCATATTTAAAACACTTAAAAACACATATACATAAACATTTAAATAAAATTATGTTATAAAATTATTACAGAA